AAGCAGTGGTATCAACGCAGAGTACTAAAGACCTCTCCGTAACTTGATCTGTGGTCTTTGATGTCCTTCTCCGTGTCCTCAATGGAGGTTTGGTACAATGTGACATTGCCTATGTCGTTTCTTTCGAGGTGCACGGCAAAGTCAGCGTTGACGGTTGCGAAGGCTTCATAGCCGTAGCCGTTCTCGCACTTTGTAAAATTAAGTTCTTGAATCATGATTTTATTATTTAACGTTAAACAATTTATCGAATATACAATTTTCCTCGCAGTCCTTTGGCTCCTGCCACGATTATGTCTGTTTTCTCTATTTGGCTGCCGAGGTGGTTCTGACATTCTATATACCAGAGAGCACCATGACTAAAATCGTAACCCTCGGAACTGCTTGATGGAGAAGAAAGCCCCAAATCCCATTCTTCATCAACATCGTGTGAGCCTGGCTCATGCGTGATAACCTCTACTATGACGGTATTACTCTTTGTCAGCACAACACCTTCAAGTATCTTCGTAAGATTATTGCTCTTCACTTCAAACGGCATTCCAGAGGTGTATGCGAGTGAGGTATCAAGGTTCTTCTTGTCCTCTGCCGACATGAGACCAGGGAGCGTTTGTGTTGCTTCATTCTCTCCAAACACACGAAGGATGCAATAAGGTACACCGCCATCCAAACTCTCATATTCGCATATAAACTCTCCGTTGATGCCAAAGACATAGTAATATTCTCCTTCCGTTTTTGAATACTCTAAGTCGTGGGTTACGCAGAATACGTTATAGTATGTATCAGTACCGTTTATTTCCCCATAAACATCATACATAGTACGACAGTGTGTAAGGTGGTTGCCATAAACAAAGACAGCGTTGATAGTTGGCAATTTCGCTCCTTCGTGAGTGTAGTCTTGTAAGTTTATGGTGGTAGCACCTATCTCCTTCGACAGCAAGTGTACCTTGTCCGCATACGTGCCGTCAGGCTGCCTAACCTTCTCAACCCATCGTATATCATGTGCAACGAAATTAAGGCGGTCGTCACTGTCCTGTAACTCCATGCTCAATGCATCGTTCTGCCTCACCTTCACCTTGCTCTGCCCGATAGATACCTTATGCTCATCGCCTACGTCAAGGAGTATCTCCTTAGATTGCGACACGTGCATTCCTCCGTTATCCATCGTGATATGGCTTGTGCCACCGTCAATGATAGTTGACGAAGAACCGCCTACGTGTACTTCGGATGCCTCTATGTCTGCCTTGCCGATGCCCTGTGCGTACAAATCTCCGTGAACCGACATAGGCGCATAGACGTTAACCTTTGCAGCATTCACGTTGAAGGAATTGTTAGTGTTCACTGAAATGCCGTAGCTTCCTTCGATGTCAAGCACATTGTCTTGCGTCAGGTCTATGTGTGCATAGTCCTTGAACCTTACGCCTTGCAGTGTCACCGTAGCACCTTCTGATGTCTTGTTGTAACCAAGTTCTTCAAGTGCCAATGCAACCTTTCCGTCAACGTACATCGTGGTAGCATAGCCATCAAGGATAGGTTTCTGATGCTCGTCATAGACAGGAGCACTCCACATCACACCGTTGCTTGTCATGGTGAGTACATAGCCTACCATACCTTCTGGAACATCCTTGCGGAAGAGTGTCTGATTAATATGCTCCATTTGCAACTTGTCATCTGCACTCATGAGACCAGCTTCATTAATCGTTGCAGATGGAAGTTCAAGGTCTGAACCTATACTTTCGCGTGTTCCGTCAGCCCTCGACCCTTGTAGTTCTATCGTAATAGACTTGCCATCATTGCCAATGGTATTCATACTTACATCAACAAGTGCCAGTGAACGTAACTCTTCCAGCCCGATTGAGTGCTCAGAAGCATAGTCACATATCTGCTTTATCGTAACAGACATTGCCCTATCACTCGTTATGTCGCTGATAGGAATCTTGAAAGCATCACCTAAAACTTGTATCAACGGAAGGTCTTTTATTTTCATTATTACTTGTTTTCTTTAAATGACATTACAATTAGACATACATTATGCAATTCATATGCAAATATACTAATTTTTTGTCTAATTTCCAAATAAATATAGACATTTTATCTATTTTAAATAACGTTTCGTTCCGAAGAAGTCTTGTCTGTGTTTTATGCTTACGTTATCGCCGGTGAAACGTATGTCACAATCTCCATAGTTATGAACAAATACTTTACTGAAAGCATCGCATTCTATTGTAACTTTTGAATAATCAAGACAATTAATCCATACCATCGCACCGTTTTCTGCTGATATTGTGAGTTCCGATGTGTGACGAATATATATCTCTGTCGGCAATTCTTTTACTGTCATGTTTGCACTACAACTGCCTAACAGCACAGCAAAATTACAGTTCTCCTTGTTCACTTTCTCGTTGCAGTATATGCCTTTGCTTCTCACTTCGTCATCAATGATATTATTCATCTGTTCTGACGTTGGGAAGTTATGCATAAGGCAGAAGTCGATGCCGTTTATCATCTTATCTGCAAGCTCTGATTTACTGCTGTTATCTTTCCATTCCTCTGTCCACTGCTGGCATAGGCCAAGTCCTATAGCCTGCTCTTTCAATTCATCTGATAGTGTCATATTCGTTTTGTTTGTTATGGTGGTAGCCATAACAGACTACCACCTTTGTTATTAAATAATTGTTTTTACATACATTGGCCTTGTTCCTCTTACCGAATCATTTATCATTTCAAGGATTGATGCCACATTTCCATCTATAGCCTCTATATGTGTTCTTATTCCACGCAATGTTACAAGAGAATATCGCAAGTTTGTGTTGATGCTCGGCATTGTCTCTTCTACCATAGTCTGCAACATCATTCTGTTTAGACTTACATCAGCACGTATTGCATTCATATAACTTGCTATAAGGTCTGCTGTGTCCTCAGACATACCCTGTATGCCGTTTGTGATTGACGACTGCTTCTGGTCTTTTAGTGTTCCAAGTCCGAGTGACTTTGAGATTTTGTCGGCAGAATCAAGGATAGAGTTTACAGAGTCTATCCTATCCTTTACGCCTACCATAATCTCGCCAAGTTCTCCGAAAAGATAACCATCCATGACACCATTTTTGCTTTCAAACTTCTCTATCCATCCGTCCATCATTTTGTCAATGTAGGTGCCTATTACCTTCTGCTGAACAACGTTTGTTATGACGTTCTTCATCGCATCCTTTACAGCGTTCTTGTATGCCTTTACAGAATTTGTTCCGGCGGCCCAGGCATCAACGAGAGCGGAGGCGATATTCTTTGACCATCCCTCAAAGTCGATGTCGTAGAGTTCTTTCGCCATGTCACGTGCGAAGTTCTTTATCTTACGCTCTGCTTCCTCTACGGAGTTAAGATATTCTTCTACCTTCGTTTCATCTGACTTCTTCTTGCCTCGCTCGGCTTCTGCCATCATCTTGTAGTTGTCACGCTCTGCATACAACAGTGCCATCTGAGCATCGAAGTACGAGCCAGAGTTTTTAGCTTCTTCAAACTTCCTCTTTGTTTCGTCAGTATATTGTTCTTTATAGGCCTTCTCCCTACCAACAAGCATTATTCTGCCAGTTTTCTCGTCATACTCATAGTTATTCTTCATGTAAGTCAACTGACCGTCAAGTTTTTCAATAGTCTTGTCAGATTCGGCTTTATTCCAGGTGTATAGTTTACCTACAAACTCTTCAAGATTATCCTTTATGAAATCTGACATCTTTGAAAGTAACTCATTAGTACGCTTTGCTTCCTGTATCTGTTCCTCTGCCTTTGCATCAGGGTCACCGATAAGGGAAGAAACGACACTAAGTGCTGCACCTGCCGCTGCACCGTATGGACCGGCAGCTCCTAAAGCTTTACCAATACCAGAATCTTCACCAAACAAGCCACCAAGACCACTTATGGCACCGCCCATGGAAGAAGCACCCTGCAATGCGCTGTTCGCTACACCGAGTGCATCACCGAAGCCTCCAAAACCATCAATCTTGTCAAGCAGGTCGCATACAGGAGATAGAGCTGTAGAGAAGTTCTGCAAGCCACTGATTGCATCATTCATGGATGTTGAGAAACCATCCTCAGATTCTTTGGCATACTTGCCAATATCATCCTTGCTATACTTTCCGTCTGCAAGACCGTACCTTTTTCCTCCACCTTTCTGGAACTCAACAGATGTGCCATCCTGCATATTACGATACAATTCATTTCGACTTTGGGCAAGTTTGTAATTTGTAGTGAATCTGGTAACGACATCTTCTCTGTTTGTTAGAGAATTGAAAGCATCATTGACTTTCTTCATCTTCTCAGAATATGCATCTGCACTAATAGCACCGGCAGAATACTGGTCATTGATATTCTTTACAATGGTTTCATAAGTCTTTGCCCTTGTATCTGCATTCATATCCCATGCAGCTGACATAAACTTCTTGTATTCATCAGTAGTCTCTGTTGTCTTTGTTCTTGCATTAAGACGTGCAATGTCCTTCGCTTTGTCTCTTGCTTTCTTCTTGTCCTCATTGACTGTGCCATCATCATTAAGGATGTTCATCTTATCTATGTATTCAAGAGTCTTTTCAAGCTCATTCGCTATTCTTTGAAGCTTTATCTCTGTTCCTTCAAGAGAATCAATCTGTGCTATAACAGTATCGGAAGCAAGTTTTTGAATACGCTGACGTTCTGTACGAAGGTCTTCTATAATTTCACGTATCTTTGTTCCTTCACCAAACCAGCCTGTCAGCTGTTTATTGTCAGCATCCAGAGCCATGTCAATGGTAACATCTTTGTAGTCACTCTTGCTGATTAAGTCTTCCAACTGTTCAGAAAGAGTTTTTTCGTATGACTCACCGAGTTTCAGTTTACCGCTTGTCATTGTGCTGGCAAGTGCTTCGCTATACTTCTTTTGGATAGCCTCACGCAGTTCATATTGAGACTTTATCTGGTCGTTGAGTAACTTGTATGCCTTTGCTAATGCTTCAACATCTTCGTGTTCTTTCTTTCGGAACTCATCTTCTTTTTCAGTCTGTGTTGCACGTGCAAATTCTTTACGCTCCTCAGTCTTTTTCTTGTTATATAAAGCCCATGCTTCCTTCATGGCTTTATCCATAGAACCTACAGGGTCGCCAAAGTCATAGCCTTCTATTCCTTCTTCTTTAGCAAGTTTGTTGACTCTCTTTTGTGCTTCAAAATCACCATAGTCCTTACGATATTCCTTATACAGAGCAATGAGTTTCTTGATGTTCTGAATGCGAGAACGCAGAGCCTTCAACTCTTTGTCCGGGCCTTCATGCTTTGTCTTGCCTTTCGGGTCAACATATTTACCGAGTTTATGAGTTATGAGATAGTTAAGGTCGTCAATCTTACCTTGTATCTCATTCTTCATTATGTTCTTTTGCAGAACGTCAAGTCCAGGAGTTGTGTCAACATTCTTTAAGGTATTCTGTTGCTCCTCCAGTTGCTCCTTCGCCTTCTTCTTCGCTCCTACGAGGTCATTATCCTTTGTAAGTTCTTTGAGAAGCTGCGACTGCTTTACGGAAAGGTCTTCACCCCACAGCATCTTGTCAAGTTCAGAAGAGTCATCGTCAACCTGCATCCTGATACGAGCAACGAAATCACTTGAAGCGAGAAGGTCTTTGATTACTCTGTCAACGTCATTAGGATATCTTGCCTCCAAGTCCTTCTTTGCAGAGTTCATAATCTCTGTTACCTTCTTCTTCTCTGCATCGTTCAGCTCTGAACCATGACGTATCTTGTCAGCGATATGGAGCATGAAGTTTCTGACCTTCTCGTCAGCTGTCTCAGGATTGTCAAGACCTGCCATAAGCTTGTCTATAATATCCTTACTTACACGTGCATCGCCATCAATTTTCAGAATCTTGTCAATCTTCAATGACAGGAAAGCCTTGCTATCATCGTCCATACCCTCAAATGCGCTTTCGAGCATGGTACGGTACAGCGCAGTAACATTCTCACCACCTTCCTTGCCTATATTCTTGATACCTTTGCCAAGTCTTGACCTTATTTGCTCAGCAATCTTTTCAATCTGAGCATCAATATTACTATTAGCATTAGCAAGGTCACGAGAATTAGAACTCAACGAGAACGTATTGTTTGTATTTGCAAGAAGATTTATATCATCTACATATTTCTGTCTGTCATTCTGGGTGCTTAGATACTGACCGAGTATAGCACGCTTTTCCTTGATATTCTGTGCCTGACTGATAAGATACGCATAATGCTTAATGATAGCATCTGTTGATTTCTTAGCGTTCTCAACAATGTTTGCAGACATTTGTTCAATAGTATCATCGTTCTCCTTTGCAAGAAGTTGTGATACCTTTCCCATGGCACCATTCCTGTCGTTTACGCTATCTCGCAATATCTCAACTGACTTAACTGTATCTTCTGCAAAACTCTTTGCTGAGTATCTATTATGCTCAATAGTGTACGTAATGTCCTTTACCCACTTCTTAATCTTTGCAAGTTTAGCATCTACACCATCAAGTTTTCCGAGGTCGAAGAGTATATCTGTAGTGAGGTACGGAGCATTTTCCTTTATGAAGTTGACATACTCCTCCAGTTCCTTCTGCTTCTCTGCTGTAGTAGAAGGGTTCCTGTTAGACATACCACTCTGGAATTCAGAGAACGTCTTTGCCTTGCCGGAGAACTCTTCAAGTGCCTTCTCTCCGGCTTGCTTCATGTCGGAGTATCTTGTGTAGGCATACGAAGTGGCAGCAGCAACACCTGTGATAATGAGTCCTACCCATCCTCCCATTGCTGCCCACAAGCCTTTTGCCATACTGCCAAGACCCTTCATAGCAAGTCCAAGTCTGCCTACAGTAGCGGCTTGTTGTCTCATAAGACCAAGCTGTACTGCCTCTTGCTGTGTTATCTTACCTTCAATGATAAGTCTGCTTATCTCTGCCTGAGTAATCTTGCCCTCTGTGACAAGCTGTTGCATACGAAGGATTGTCTGCTGACGCATTTCAGCTGTCTGTCCCTTCTGAATGAGGTTTGCACCGACATTCTTCAACTTATTTATTGCGAATACAGCGAAAAGACCAGTAACAGCAGGGATAACGGCATTGATACGAAGCAGTATGCTTGTTAAGAAGTCAAGAATACCCTTGAATGTTGCTCCTACGATGCTATCACCCTTTGCGAAGCCAGAGAGCATGATTTCCCAAGCATCCTTCAACTTGTTATAACGTCCAAGGAGTGTTTCTGACAACACCATCTGCATGTTGTAGAACTTGCCTCCTTCATCTGTCATTGCCCACAGCACCTTCTGTACGTCCTCGAATGACACCTGTCTGTTGGTTATCATCTTGCGTACAGTAGCCTTTGATACTTCCTTTCCCTGTGTCTGTGAGTACATATCAGCAAGACTCTGGAGCAAAGGTACACCGGCATACGCAAACTGACGCAACTCCTTCGCATCAAGCCATGAGCGTGACTTCACCTGTCCGTAAGCCAATGCTATACGGTCAAATGACACACCGAGACCTGATGAAATGTCTGCAAGTCGTTTTGTGGTATCATAGAGTTGGTTTGTCTCTACATTGTATGCTGCCAACTGCTTTACGTCCTTTGTCAGTTCGCCAAAGGTGAATGGTGACTGCAAAGCAAGTCCTTTGAGTCCTTCAAAGAGGTCGTTAGCCTGTTGTATGTCGCCAATGATTGATTGCAGTGCTATATGCTGTTTCTCAATCTCACCACCAACCTCTATGACAGACATCACAAGTTGCTGTACTCCATAGATAGGTGCAAACTGATACAGCAAGTCCTTGATGCCGGACATGGCATTGGAAGCATTCTTCGCAGCACTTTCAAGATTACGATATTGAGAAACAAGTTTCGATACCTCTTGCGATGCCTTTTTGCTTGCTGCTTCTGCGTCTTTTGTAGCCTTTTCTGCTGATTGGAACGTACTTGTAAGTTTAGTCTTCAATGTGCCACATTCGGCACTTATCTGTTTTAACTCGTTCTCGTATGGCTTTAGGCTACCTGATGTTACATTTGCATTTGTCAGAGACTCCAAAGCAGTTCTCAAATTAGTGATGTAACGCAACTGCTGTTCTATTTCAGAATTGTTAACACCTAACTTGATTGCTTTGTTATTCTGATTCTGCATTTCTTGCTCTATATGCTTAATCTTTTCAAGCATCAAAGCAAGTTTCGTAGCAGAGTTATGTTCGTCATTTATTGCATTTGCAGCAGACTTTGCCATTGCCGTGCTTGCTGCTTCTGCGGCATTAGCCTCTGACTTAGACTTTGCAAGTTCTTCGTTGTATGCTTTCAGAGCATCACGGTCTGACCGAATTGCCCTATCAACTTGTGAGTCAGTCTGCTTCTTCTCTACACCGAGATTTCCAAGAACACCAGGCATTGAGAGATACTGTTCTTTTGAAACATTATCCCTTAACATTTTATACGACTCAATAAGTTCATCTACACGTTTTCTTGCGGATTCTAAACGTGTAGTGTCTATATTAACCTCTTGCGATTTTGATATTCTTGCATCAAGAAGTGCTTTCTTGTCATAAAGAGATGTTATGATATTAGACACATTGTTCATGTCTCTCGCATATCTCTCATCGTCTTTTGTAGCCTTTCTTGCAGATGCAGCACTCTCTCTTTCGAGGTTTCTGTAATAATCCTGCATACTCTTTCGTATTGCAGGATCCATTCGCTGTGGCAATGCTGCTTCTACCCTTTGAGCGAACAAAGATGCGTTTGCTTGTTCATTCAGCCTCTGCTGTTCTGCTTGCTGACGTGCAAGAGCCTTCTTCTCTCTTTCATCCTGATTGGTAAGTTGCCTCGCAATAGTAGCCTCTGACAGAGCGTCCTTTCTTGCAGTACGTACAAGGCTCCAATCTTGAAGAGAGCCACCATTTCGTAACTGCTCTTGATACTTCTGCAATGCCGACACAAGTTGATTGATGCTTTCTCTTGTGCTGTTGATAATTGAAGTATCTGTGCCATCAAAGTATTTCTTTATACCAAGAGAAGTCTGCTCTGTCTGTAATTTGCGAATTACATCAGTAAGTCTTTCTATCTGTCTTGCTCTCTCTGCATTTACCTGTGCTTCGTTCTTTGCATCAGAGATATACTTTGCATTATGCAGTTGTTCAGTAGCCTTCTGCATATTTGCAAAATACTGCTGATACTCCTTCATCTTCTGGAGTCGTATCTTCTCCAGATTATCCATCTGTGCTTGATGCTTCTTCTCTGCCTCTTCTTGTGCCTTGAAACGTTCCTCCATCTGCTGTTTCAACTGAGCAGAACGGAGTTTTTCTCCTTCTATCTGTGCCTTGTCAGAGCCTTGCGTCCATGCCTTGTTACCTGCCTGTGCCTGTGCAATCTTATTCTTTGCTGTTGCCTCCTGTGCCTTCTGCGCTTGCTTCTCGGCAGCAGCAGCATCATTGAGACGTGCCTTCTCCAAATTTTCAAGGCTGACAGCAAGAGAGTTTGCGTCTGTGATAAGGTTCTTGAAGTTTGCACCAACGAGTGACGTTCCGTCAGCACCTCTGAATGCGAGTGGATGACCTATCTTATCCCATACAGACTGTAACTGCTGAGCATAGGCACGCAACTCGTACATCTTTGTGTCAACTGCCTGTTGGGTAGCAAAATCCCCCTTCGCTACCTTTACATTGGAAAGCCTGTTCTGTGCTTCATAAAGCTTATTGAACGAGTCAATGAGTTTGTCATTCTGCGACATAACTCTCTGCTGTTCTCTGTAGTAGTCGTTGAGCCATCTACGGCTATCAGCATCAGAACGTCTCTGGTCCGATTCTGCCCTTCTTCTATCAGATTCCTTTTGACGTGCATCGGAAATTATCTTCTGATTGTCGAAGTCCTTTGCACCAAGTTTTGAACGTCCGATAGACAGTTCTGTCATTGCCTGTCTCTGATACAGATAGGCATTACGATATATTGATTCAGGAAATTGTCCTTGTTTCTGAGAGAACTTGATAAGTTCGCTCCACATAGTCTTTAGTGATTCGAGCTTATCAATATATCCTTGCAGTGCCTTAGACTCGTTGGTTTCTCCAAATTTCTCCAAAGAGGAATGAAGTCTTGTTCTTGCTGACTCTGCGAGTTTGTCAATGGTCATCATAGAACCTTTGGCAAGGTTTGAGTATTTCATATACTCTTGCTGTATGGCATTCTCGGCATTCTTACGTGCTGTCATACCATTGAGTATATTATCATACTGCTTTGCACTCGCATTCATCAAGCCTACCTGACGTTTTAACTCGCCAAGTGTAGAACTGTCTATCATTCCTACAATTTTGGCGTTTACATCACCATTCTTCTTGTAGAAACCTGCTATGATGTCACGATAACTTTTACTCTTTCTTTCAAGTTCTGGTAAGAGTCTATCAAGTTGTCTTAGTTCGTCTGTGATTCCTTTTGAAACCTCCTTTGGCAAACCATCCATCTGCAAAGCGTTTGAAAGAACTTTTCTACGTCCCTTCATGCTTTCTATCTTATCAAACATTTCTTGATAAGAGTTAGCAACAGACTGTATAAGGTTTATCGTTCCTCGTACCTCTGATTTGCTTAATCTTGCAGATATGGTTACCTCTTTGCCATCTTTAAGTGCCTTTGTCGCTTCTCCGGCTTTCTTAATCTGTTTGAAGAGTTCCTCGAATGCTTGTGCTCCTTTTTGACCTCCTTCCGAGAATTTCTTTACCTCTTCATTGGCCTTCTTGACACCACCACCTATATTCGCATTAAGGTTGAGTGCCATTTCAAGTGCGCCTAAATCTCCACCTGCCATAGTATTCTATTTATTTTTGTCTTTAAAAAACTCACCAAGTGATACCCTCTTACTGTTTGCGAAGCCACCAAATGGATTGTCTATTCCTTGTTCTCTTTCCTTCTTGCGCTTTGCCTCCCAAGCATCAGCGAAGTTATCCATTGCCTTCTTTGTTTTCTTGATTTCCTTTTTCTTCTTTCCGTAACTTACAAATGGTTGGTCTGCTATCATTAGTTCTATCTGAGCCTTTGTATAGCCGTTCCAATAGTCGTACGCTCGGATTCCAAAACGTCTTTCAAACAAGAATGGATGCTTCTCTGCTAAGCTGTATGCCGTTCCCCACGTTGTGCGGCTTGGATGCGACTTACTTCCTTCTTCGTCATCGTCATCATCAAGTCCGTCATCTCTGTCGAGTATATGGTAACCAAGTAGAATGCTTCGTGCTGAACTTTTTTTTTAGCAACATCCATAATCTTTAGCACGTCAATATCGTCAAGGTCTTTCACGTAGTAATACCACCTCCAAAGGAACCAATACAGAAAACGAATCATCCATAGATTGTTAAGGAGTATTATTGCTGCTATCTTGCAATTTGCTTTGTGAGGAACCTTCTCTGTAGCCATTACGTGCGTAAAACACCTCTCGGTATAGTTATGAATCCATCCTATTTTGTATTTATGACCATTTACCTCTACTGTTTCTGGTGTAGCATTAAACAGTTCATCAAGCTTTTCTTGCAACAGCGCATCAGGCTGTTTTATCTCTTCCTTTTGTTCTGCCATAGTATATTTGTGTTTACGTCTGAATAGAAAGAAAGGGCAATGGCGACACTAAATCACCACCGCCCTGACATACTATTCAAACAAAATGAAAAAGAGTTCTTTTATGCCTCCTTCTTCTTGAGCCAAGCGAAGTTAGCATCACCAGAGGTCTCAATAGAACCTGAGAACTGGATAGCGAAAGGCTCTGTAGAAGCGTTCTCGTACATTGGCTTAGCGTAGAGAGCGATGTTTGTGATAAGCATAAGGTTCTTCTTCGTCTCGTCAAGGATGCCGATAGTACCTGTAACCTTCTGCATCTGAACGGTAACAGCAGAGCCCTCCCATACACCAGCAGACTCACCACCTGTGATGGTTGCCTCGGTAATCTCCTTGTAAGCCTGCTCACCGAATGCGAGCTTGATAACCTCCTTCGCCTTGGTAGGAACAGTGAACTGGAGAGTGAAGTCACCTGCCTCTGCAGAAGAGGTCCAGTCGCCCTGCATACCGATAACCTTGTAGTGATTGATTGTTGGGTCGTCCTGAGAAATCTGGAGTGTGTCAACGGTTACAGGAAGCTCATACTGCCAGTCAATCATCAGAGGAGAAGCAATCTCCTTGAAGTTTGACGTCTGAGTTACTGCTGTTGCTGTACCAGCCTTGATGCACTCGTAGTACTTACTACCACTCTTTACAATGTCACCAACCTTGTATGGAGTGTTCGCGTCGAATGCAGGGATGTTAGCCTCATTGAGTCCTGCATCGTTTGAACCGTCAAGGTCAACGGCCTTGTTTGTGTAAAAAAGAGAAGAAAGGCCATTAAATACGTCCTTCAACTCGGTCTTGTTCTTAAATTCAGCCATAATTTTATTTGTGTTTGTGTTGTTAATTAAATATATGTTGTTAATCTCGCTGATATTGAAATGTAATGCCAACTGTCGCTATCACTGCCACTCCAGATAACTCTTGGGCGATGTATCATGACACTCTTCCCAGAGTCCACGATGGGGAAAAGTGCAAGTACACGCTTCTGAATATCGTCAAGTCTCGTGATATACTTCTGATTGGTAGCCTTACTGGATATATTGTCTCTTACAAATAGGTCTATGTTAACGGTAGTAACATAATAGTCAAGGTTTCCATCGGGGTTCATTTCCCTATTTGACACGTAAGAAGGAATACTTACAATAGCATATTCATACAGTTTATCAGAAACAGACTTAGGCCTGTCAAGATAAACAGTATCAACAACACCTTTCACAGCGTTGTATGCTACCTCTATGTAATCTTTCATTCGTATCATACGTTGTCCTTGATTATTTGATGTACTCGTTGCATAAAATCTCTTCCTTTAGTAAAGTCAACATATTTTGCATAACCTACTCCGACATAAAAGTAAAGGGTTGCAATAGTTCTCTTTCCTTTGAACTGTGAGGAACGTAGTCTTGCTCTATGCCTTGCAGCTTCTTCCGGGCCATTTTGACTTCCCATACCATACTCACCAACATAAGGCCTGTGTTTTGTCTTACTTTCAACCAAATCACCATAGTAGTAGTAATCTTGGTCGTACATTTCACCTGCCTTCAGTGATTTTCTTGTAGGAGAGCCACCACCTCCATGCATCATATAAGGAGCATAGGAAGATGACAATATGTATCGGTGAGTCTTTGGGTCTGTTCGCACGACACTGAAAGCCATTGACGTATAGAGGTTACCTGTAACGTTATGAAAACCTAAGCCATCATTGCTTCGGTTCTCTATAGCAATCATTTCGGCAGAGTTCTTTGCTATCTCGTCAAGTTTGCGTCCGGCAATCTCTGATGTTTTCAGTGTAATTACTTCTTCAAGCCATTGACGTGATGCAATATTCTTGCCTTTGACATTAAGACCTTTGGGGCCTTTGTATCGTATCGAAACCTGTTGTGCCATAGCTAAACCCTTGGTCTGTTCCAGTAAATCAACGTTCTATTATTGTCTGGCTCTACATCTTTCACGATGCCGGAGTATTCAATATTGCCTACCTTGACACATATAGTATCACCGTCAAGTATCTCATACTTCCATTCGTCAAACCTTACAGGTATTGAGCATTTGCGATGGTTCAAGTCCATATCAACGTCACCTGTCGTTGTAGTGTCGGTGAAGGCACGACCACAGCCTTTGTAAAGCACTGTGTCTTCATTCGGAGTATCATCAAAAGGATTGTCGTTTACTACAACTCTTTTGATTATCACCTCATGAGGGTAACGTGGATTGTCTATATTTACTCTCTTCATCGTATTATATGTGGAAGTGGAATGTCGCCGGGCATATACCTTGCTGGCTGTATGCCGTGTGACGTAAACTTGAACTTTGTCTTGCCTACTGTGTCTTCACCATACTTCTCGTAAATGGTGTTGGCGGCTTTGATGAAATAACTCTTGTCGGCCTCTGTAAGTGTATAGCCTCCATCAGAATGAGTCCAACCATTATCAGTGTCCGTGACAGTGCCTCTGCGACTGACACCCATAACAATCCACACATACAGGTCTGCTTTGCATAGGTCACGTTCTTGCTTTGGTACCTCCATGGCAGGAATGCCACACTCAACGTCTCTTTCAAGAAGAATGCGTACTACAGTCTCTTCCGGAACATCGAAGTTTACTGTGCTATACAGATAGTCCTCTATTGATAGAGGTGCCTTCTCCGGCTGTTCTGTTGGTACTTCTTCCTGAACATCGTCAGTGGTGCCCTCATTGTTCACGAGAGCATCACCTTCAATGTCGTATGTGTTGTTGTCAATCATTTCTTATCAGCAATATTACGTTTTTACTTCGTTACAGTACAGATGAAGTGATACTGTGGCTGGTTGAGCACAGGGAGCTGTGCAAACTCTGAATCGAAGTAGATAGACTTTGTCTTTGCCTCTGGACGCTGTGTGAGAAGCAGACGGCCACCGTCAAACCAACCTGTGTCCTCTGGACGGATGCCTACAGTCATTGGCTGGACGCCCTGAATGTCACCAATGATACCGCTTGGACGGAATACGATGTTCTCCTTCTTGAAGTTCTCGATGGTTGTACCGATGATGTCTGGAAGGCCGTCCTCGTCAATACCCGGAGCGTTAACGACAGCGTAAGAGTCCTGAAGCTTAATCTCGTCAACCTTGATGTAGTTCTTGATCATGCTCTTGACACGCTCCTCAGACTCGTTCTGTGCATTACGGAGAACGGTGTCTGCATCTGCTACATTTGGATAGAGCTGAGCACCGATACGGCCGAGAACCTTTGTATGTGTAGCGAGGTCATCCCAGAGGTCTGATGTGAGCTCCATAGTGAGAGGGCCATAGTAGTGCCACTTACGCCTGATGTCCTTTACTGTATCACGGAGCCACTTCAATGGGTCTGATGCAGTACCCTCCTTCGCAACGGTGTGATTCTCGTCTGTCCAGAATGCAGTTGCGAGTGGTGTAGAACCAGACTTAGGAGTAACGATGTCAATGAAACGGTCATCCTTGATGCCGTAGGTGAGTTCGATACCCTTCAAGCCACGTGGGTTGTTGTCAGCAGAGAGTGTAAAACTACCCTTTGATACTACCTGATGGCGCATATGGGTAAGGGCATTGCGATAACCTGCGATAAGGTTCTCTGTTCCCTCGTCAAAGAGGTTGAAGAGGGTCTCCTGCAGTGATGCGTTGAATGCGCCCTGTCCTACCTGCTGAATGATACGCATGCGCTCCTTGAGTATCTTAGAGTTGATGCGAGAGAATGCCTTTGCTGTTGGGATGTCACCAGTCTCACCAGAGAACTGACGGAGAGTTGTCTCGTAGCCTGGAGAATCTGGGTCAACCCAAGTAGGCAGTGCCTTGATACCGGCAGAGGAAACGAGCTGTGCATAGGTTCCCATCAGTGTCATAGGACTGAATGTGAAACCGTCCACGTTCAGCTCATTGTACTTCTCGTTGTAACGGTCAACCCACATATTCCAGTCAAGGTTTCCCATACCAAACTGCAGAAGCTTTACTAAATCTATTGAATTGGTATTCATTGCTTACTTGTGTTTGTGTTGTTGTTAAACTTGTGTTGATTACATTACGAGGACTACCTGAGGAACGGTTGTCAACTGTACCTGTGCTGCTACCTTCTGTGCGTTCTCTGAGAGCATGTACTTGTAGAGTTCACCTTCGTAAACTACTGTACCTGTTGCTACAGTTACTCCGTCAAGGAGATACGCATCATTGTAAAGGTAGCCGTTTACACCGAGTGCTGCAACCTTTGCTGCGTCAACAGTGCCACCTGATACACAAGCAGCAATCTTTGCCTCAGTGATAACCTCGATTGTCTTTGCGCTCATATCGTACTTAACGAGAGAGCCGGCAGGGATAACCTTTGTGGAAGCGAAGTCTGTGATATTGGAGATGGTACC